CATTCCCTTCCATATTTATTCCTCCTTCCTTCACCTTCCCCTTTTCCTATTTATCGCTCTTCCCTTTTTCCTATTTATCACTTTTCCCCTTTCCACTCCCTCTTATATTAATTCCTCTTCCCCTACCTTTCCCCATCCCCTATTTATGCGCTTCACTTCCCCCTCCCTTCCATATTTATCCCCCACGTTTTGCCTTTGTCCCCCTTTTCACCCACATTTCTCTTTCCTTCATCTCCCCCTTTCCATAATTATCCATCTCCCTTTTATTTCTCTTTTCCCTTTCATAATCATCCTCTGCCGCTGACCCCGTTTATCCTTTTCGTTCACCTTTCTCCTTTCCCATTCCCCTTCTTTCGCTTCTCCCTTGCCATTATTTTTCGTTCTCCCCCTTCACATTCTTTTTCGTTTCCTCTTTCCGTCGCTCTTTCCATTCTCATTCCCGTTTCCGGTCCCCATCCTTTTATTTTCCGTTGCTCTCTCCGTCCTGTTACCTTATCTTTTCTCCAATCCTCCTACATTTTTCTCATTGTCATGCAGGGAATGATAACCACTGAGCAAAAGGGGAGGTGCCGTTGGCCAACGACATGAGAGAGGAATGACTGGGAGTCATATGAAGGAATCAGCAGAGAAGGAAGCATCGCAAAGTGGGAATGAGCAGACGAGTTCAATGAAAGAGTTGAAGGAATCACCACAGTCCCCCTGAACTCGTATGTGAGTGACTGAATGAGAAGGATTGCCGGATTAACTTGAAAGTATGAGCGCAGGTTTACCCTGAACCTGAAGGTTTTTGATGCGTGTTGATGACGTCTTACAGTGCGGGGTGGACCTTGAAACCTGATGAAAATGGGTTTTCGGCGTCATGTGAATACGTCGGGTGTGAGACGTGTCGGCTTGTGAGAGGTTGCTTCTAACGACGTCGGGTGGTTGACGTGTGAGCTTGTGAGAGGTGCTTCTAACGACGTCGGGTGGTTGACGTGTGAGCTTGTGATAGGGTAGTGTGGGGGGGAGGTGTACGGTGGGATTCGAACTCGCGTGCGCAGCAGTAGCAATGAGGCCCATAACCTGTCATGCAGGGAATGATAACCACTGAGCAAAAGGGGAGGTGCCGTTGGCCAACGACATGAGAGAGGAATGACTGGGAGTCATATGAAGGAATCAGCAGAGAAGGAATCACCACACTCATCAACTTGACTTGTCTGTTTGGCGTGGTTGTGCAAGAGGAATCTTGGTTTGCCTGACGATGGTCTGCCGGCTGGCGACTTGGTTAGGAGGGCAAACCATCTCGAGATTCTGTGGTGATCAATCTACGTCCTCTTGGCACTTTTCTTGGGTTTACTCTACTCAACAACCAATGTACCTCAACTCTTCTCGTCCCGGTCACCATCTCCCTCTCCGTCTCTATCTCCGCCTCTGCCTCCGTCTCTGTCTCTGTCTCCATCCCCGTCTCCGTATCCATCTCGAACTTTGTCCCTTCCTTCTCCTCTGTCTCTGTCTCTTTCTACATCCCCGTCTCCATTCCCATCCCTCTCCCTCTCGACCTCTTTCCCTTCCTTCGTCTCCATCTCTGTGCCTCCCCTCGTCACCCTCTCCGTTCCGGCCTCCGTCCCGGGTCCTCCGTACCAGTGTCCCTATCCAATCGTTCTTTCTTATTCTACTCTCCGCTCCACTACTAACTGCAAACTTACTAACCGTTCCCGTTTCTAATTCTCTCTTCTTTTTTCTCCATCTGTCGGGCTCTCCATCCAAACCCATATCTACCCCCCTTCCTCGCCCCTCCCCATTTCTTTCTTTTTCCTTTTTTCTTTGTCTGATAGGAGAAAGGAAGGAGGAAAAAGGACGAAATGGGGAGGGGTAAGCGAGGGGGACAGTCATGGGGCAGTGGTGAACACAACTGTCAATTGTAAAGGCACACTCGCGGTGTGCAGCATTCATATGTTGCATTACAGAAGCCTTACACGTGTATGACTGGTGTCTTCTGTACACTTACCTTCGTAGTTTACAGTGCTGCCGACTGTTGGCCTCGATTAATTCCGTCGGTCACATGAGTGCAACCGTATCAAAGGTCGCGACCGGTTCGTTGACCGTTAGTGAAACATTATCAGCAAGGTTCACGGCTATGTTTCGGTATATAGATATTGAGTCCTCTACCTCCTAGACGGATTGGGTCAAGAACGAATCAGTAAACAAGTGCATTTTATTGCTAACCTTGGCGGAGCTCTCCTGTGCGAGCGTCCGCGCTTTTCGTTCTCACCGACTCGCGTTTCTATTCAAGGAACGGCGTAGGCTCCCGAGCGCCTACTGTCAGAGTCAGCATCACAAGGAAGCTCAGAGGAGTTTTCCGACATTCCGGAATTAAAGAGAACTTCATCATTAAGAG